GAGGGGAAGGGGGTTCTGAAATAATTGGAGAGAGAGAGGGAGGCAGATGCAAGATGGATAAAGGAGCAGATACATGGAGAGGAGATGGACAGGTCAAAGAGGCTCCATGTCCATCCTGGGCCTCCTCCAGTGTCACAACGATGCCACCCGAAGGTTGCAGGAACAGCAACTCATATTTCGCTTGGGAACCCTGCAGCCCAATGGTCTCAATGTGGACTTCACAAGCTTCAAAATCTCCCCTCCCCCGACTGCATCCCAAAACCAGCCCAGCTTGTCCCCGCCTCCCTAACCTGTCCGTCCTTTCTCCCACTTATCCACTCCTCCCACCTCAACCCCCACCCCCCACCTCCTTGACTGACCTGCCCCATATTAACTCCCCGCCTACACTCACCTTTACTGGCTCCATCCCCGCCTCCTTGACCTGTCCATCTCCTCTCCACCTATCTGCTCCTTTATCCACCTTCCATCCACCTCCCCCTCCTCTCTCTCTATTTATTTCAGAATCCCCTTTCCCTCCCCCTTTCTGAAGAAGGGTCCAGACTCGAAACGTCAGCTTTCCTGCTCCTCTGATGCTACTGGCCTGCTGTGTTCATCCAGATCTACGCCTTGTTATCTCAGAGAGATCTAACTTGTGGAGGTGAAAGCTGCAATGATTGGTTGTTAAGGGAGTTACATTTTTAGAAGGAGGATTTCCTGATGTTCAGGTGCGTACCCCTGCAGCATCAACCCTGTTTCTCTCTGCTCACACCATTTTACACAGTTCCATCAAATTCTCTAGTGCTTAACTTTCAGAGAATCTTTTCCAACTTTCTTCTAACTTGTGGAGTGAGGGAACAAGCTTTTGCCAACACCCCCTCCTTCTCCATTCATTCCACAGCTTTGAATATTTCCTCTTCAGATTGAGAGGCAAGAACTGAATAGAGTCACAGAGTACTACAGCACAGAAGGAGGCCCTTCGGCTAATCGTGTCCATAGCGGTCATTATGCACCTATCTATTCTAATCCCATTTCCCAGCACTTGTGTTTCAAGTGTTCAGCTCAATACTTCTTAAATATACACCACTGACCGGGACACCTCTTTAATCTTGCAGATTGTGCTGATCTGCCCTTGGCATCAGAGGAGAAATGGCTTGTGGGTGAACTGCAGCTCTTGAGCACTAGAGTTCAGAGGCCTCAGGTGAAGCATCAGCAAAGCTGCCTCCCTGCAGCTCAGCCACTGACAGCTCAGGGGGAACCAGAGACAGAGAGAGAGTGTGAGAGAGTGGGAGGGAGCACCTCACTGTGGCAGCCCAGGCTGCTGGCACCTGGAAGACCATCAGAGACCAGGCATCAGTCCCCAGGCAGGAGACGACCCTGCAGTGTTGGCAGTCAGGGACGTGGATACACAACTGCACAGGGAGGATTAAAGGGAGGAGTGGCCCTGAAATTGCAATCATGCAGTGAATCCATCTGAACCTTCCGTCTGCCTCCATGGACAGGTTGGCACTGCCACAGTGTGCCAGCTTCGGCATCCTCAGGGTCTGCTGCACACTCCACCGCCCTAACCATTGGTCCCCAGGACCAAGGTCATAACGACAAGGGGGCAGAATACCTTGACCCAAGTCCAGGTGCCCCCTCTTCACGAGGAGGCAGGGCAGTGCCAGGATGCTACCCAGTCAGAGGAGGAACCACACACAGTTTCAGTTGGGCCCTCCACAACTTCCTGAGCCTTGGAGGTCCAAGCAGGTTGAGGCAAGAAGACCCTCAGAAAGTCAGGTCTAGGCGCAACCCCACCAACCTCCACTCCTCCCCTGGCCTGGCATGGGGTCTCCCCATCACACCTCCAGGGCCAATGGGCTCCACCTCCAGGCCCAGCTGCAGAACCAGGGGGTGCACTGACACCTTGTGGCATGGAGCCAGAGAGGGAGAGGAAAATGTATCGAGGGCACTTTGGTGGCATGGGCTGTTTCTGTTTTGTAAATATCATTGGTGCCATAAATGTTAATCTACCTCCTTCAAAAGTATCAAATAGAACCTATTTTCCAATACCTTTCAGTCCTGAAGAAGTCATACTGCACCTGGAACGTTAACTCTGTTTTTCTCTCTCTCTCCACAGATTCTGCCAGACCTGTTGAGTTTCTCCAGCATTCTCTGTGCTTGTTACAGTCAGAGCCCTTATCGCTTAATGTTTGATTCAATTCATGCAGATCATTGAGAAATGTACCTCCATACAAAGGACCTGAATTTGATATATTATATCTACTGATTTGGGTGACAGGCAGAATGTCATTTTTTTTTTTTGGCTTGACTGCTCAATCTCTCTTCATTCCATCTCTGGAATCAATCTTGCGAGCCTCCTCTGCACTGTCTCCAATGCAACCACATCCCTCCTCAAGTAAACTGTACACAATACTCCAGGTGTAGACTCACTAATGCCTTGCACAGTAGCAGTAACACTGTCCTACTTATACACTCTATTTCTTTAGCAATAAATGCCAACATTCCATTTGAATATAAGAAACAGGAGCGAGAGTAGACTATCTGGCCCCCTCGAGCCTGCTTTGCCATTCAATACGGGCATGGCTGATCTTTTCCTGGACTCAGCTCCACTTACTCACCCGCTCACCATAATCCTTAATTCCTTAACTGTTCAAAAATCTATCTACCTTTGTCTTAAAAACATTCAGCGAGGTAGCCTCAACTGCTTCACTGGGTAGGGAATTCCACAGATTCACAACCCTTTGGTTGAAGATGTTCCTCCTCAACTCAGTCCTAAATCTGCTCCCCTTTATTTTGAGGCTATGCTCCCTCGTTCTAGTTTCACCTACCAGTGGGAATGACCTTCTTGCTGCTATTTTATCTATTCCCTTTTTATTTTATATGTTTCTATAAGATCATCCCCCCTCATTCTTCTAAATTCCAATGAGTATAGTACCAGTCTACTCAGTCTCTCCTCATAAGCCAACCCTCTCAATTCTAGAATCAACCTAGTGAACCTCCTCTGCACCCGCTTCGGTCCCAGTACGTCCTTTCTCAAGTAAGGAGACCAAAACTGTATACAGTCCTCCAGGTGTGGCCACACCAGCACCTTATACAGCTGTAGCATCACCTCCCTAGTTTTTGCCTTCCTTGTTACTTGTTTCTCAAACATTTGAGATACCTTACCCTTCCAGAGTGATCGGGGCATGTTTCATGACCAAGGGCCATCTCCTTATTGCCTTCCGTACAGCGGATCTGATCAGGGTTACCATTACCCGACAGGATGGTTTTTAATGTGCCGTATTTCAGCAGGGTGAACCAATGGCTTTAGCCCTATTTACAAATTTGGCTGTAAATCTAATTGTATAATGTATAGGACTGTCGGAATCCCGGTGTGTATACTGACCAGTGAGGGTAGTTTTACGGTACACAATCATAGAGAAGCTCCCGGCCAAATCCTCATCTGGGACACTGAAGAAAGCGAACTCTTCCATTTCAAACACGAATTTGTGAGCCGGATACAGCCCGTTAAGACATGCAAGGAAATAATTACACACAGCTAACAGATTCAAGTATCGCAAATATTTCATCTACGTGTTAGAAATATGCAACCCCTCTGCCAATCAGAGTCTACATATTGACCAATCAGCATTCTCCCCTCATGCAGTACAAATGCTGATTTCACCCCTTGAATTGGGAATTCTTGCAAAGTGTCCTGATGAGCACAAGAGGGAAATCTTTGACACAAATTCTTTCTCGGCAAGGCTGGGTGAAATTGAGACAAGAGGATGGAGGCTTATGCGGTGGGAGGTGGGGGGAACAGACAGGATAGTGAAGCTGAGGTCACAAATAGATCAGCCACAATCTTAGTAAATCTCCTGATTCTTATGTCCTCGTGTTCATCAGCCAGATCCTGGAGTGGAATAATGCACCAGCAAGGTCTGAGCCAATTATAAAAAATGAAACCTCCAACAAGTCCATGAAGTCCCTCACCAACTTCTACATATACACCATTGAAAGTATTGTGTCTGGGTGCATAATGGCCTTGTATGGCAACTGTTCTGCCCACGACCGTAAGAAACTACAGAAGGTGGTGTGCACAGCCCAGACCATCACGGAAGCCAACCTTCCATCCATGGACTTTCATCATGGCGGCCAACATCATCAAAGACCCATCGCACCCCAGTAATGATCTCCTACAACCTGTTCCGTCAGGCAGAAGATACAGAAGCCTGAGCACACGCAACGACAGGTTCTGGAACAGCTTCTTTCCAGCTGTTATCGGACTGTTGAATGGACTCTAACCTCAAATAATGTGCCCTCCAATGTAACATGTATGCCTCCAAGTCTTTTTGATCTGTATACCTCTGCTTGCTGTGATGTGCCTGTACCGCTCGTAAGCAAAGATTTTCACTGTATTGTGGTGCACGTGACAATAAAATCAATCAGTTAAGACAGTGCCACAATTTTATGGAGGGCACACACCATTCAAATTACCATGTGCCAGATGGACTGCCTCTGTGCCATAAATGCCTCTATTTCCATGCTTTTCTCTGCTGATACATTATCTTACATGAAGTTTGGAAGAGATCTCAGCTTCCAGGCACCACTGGGTAATGATTGTGGTGTTGTGCTGATTCGAAACACCAGGTGGCACTTCCGTCCTGTGGATCATCGTTCAATTGTCGGTGTTGGGTGAAACCGGAGAACAAGGCAGACCCTTTACTATTCCTCTGTTTTTCTCCACTGGAGACTTCAACGCCTGTAAATTGAAGGCGTATTCTGTTTCTTTTGCCTCTGACAGTGCAGCACCACAATGGAGTGCCAGTCTAGAGTTTTGTGCTCCTCAACTAGGACTCGAACCACGTGTGCTACCTACAGAATCATGGTTGGCTCACAAGAGAAACCCACCTTTCCTTTACCTTTGTTGCTGCTTACTTGTCTCGAGGGACAGCGTGTGGTAGAGATACAGTAAAAATTTTGCAGTTTGTGCAGGTCCTGTGTATAACACTGCATTAGCCGCAAACAAAATCAGACATACAAAAGGGCTCCTGCATTTTATTTACATTTGTACACAATAACGTTAACAATTCAGAAAGAAATTTCACACAAGAATTGGGTACTTGATTTGGGGAAAGTGTGATTTGACGCATGGTTGGAATGACTGAGACAAGGTTACCTCCTCACGTGAGAGAACTTTCCAGGCTAACGTCTGTCACAATTTCTACGCTTCGTTGGTTGGTGTGAGCTGGCGCTGTGATCTGGGACTCCCTTAAACATCTGTGAGCAGACCCAGCCTCCTCTTCCACCCCCGACACTGCTCCGGCACTCTCTTTCGCAAAATACAATGGCTTGGCTTACTTAGAATATTTACTCCATCTCTTGCATTTCGAAAATTGGTTTGATGAAACCATGGGGAATGGATTTAAAAAATACATATATTCTTGGATGGGCAAGGGCAGGATTTGTTACCCACCCCCAATTGCCTTTGAACTCACTAGGCCATTTTGGAGGGCAGTTACTTATCAACAATAATTTCTTTTTATTCATTCATGGGATGTGGGCGTCACTGGCTGGGTCCAGCATTTATTGTCCCATTTCCCCCCCCAGTTGCCTCCCCTTGAGAAGGTGGGGGTGAGCCGCTGCAGTCTGTGTGGTGTAGGGACTCCCACACGGTGCCCTCAGGGAGGGAGTTCCAGGATTCTGACCCAGCGACACTGAAGGAACGGCCGATATATTTCCCAAGTCGGGGACGGTGAGGGGCTCGGAGGGTGAACTTGCAGGGGGTGGTGTTCCCATGTACCTGCTGCCCCTTGTCCTTCTGGATGGAAGTGGGTCATGGGTTTGGAAGGTGCTGTCTGAGGGGCCTCGGTGAGTTGCTGCAGTGCATCTTGTAGATGGTACACACTGCTGTTACTGAGTGTCGGTGGTGGGGGGGGGCAGTGGGATGTTTGTGGATGTGGGGCCAATCGCGCGGGGGGCTTCTTTGTCCCTGGATGGTGTCGAGCTTCTCGAGTGTTGTTGGAGCTGCCTCCATCCAGGGCGAGGGGGGAGTATTCCATCGCACTCCTGACTTGTGCCTTGTCGATGGTATTCTTTAGGGAGTCAGGAGGGGAGTTACACGCTGCAGGATTCCCAGCCTCTGCCCTGTTCCTGTAGCCGCTGTGGTCCAGTTGAATGTCTGGTGGATGGTAACTCCCAGGGTGTTGATAGTGGAAGGGGGGAATTCAGTGATGGTAACACCATTGAATATCAAGGGGCAATGGTTAGATTCTCTCTTGTTGGAAATGGTCATGGCCTGGTATTTGTGTGGCATAAATGTTATGTGCCACATGTCAGCCCAAGCCTGGATTTTATCAGATCTTGTTGCATTTGAACACGGGCTGCTTCAGTATTTGAGGAACAGTGAAAGGTGCTGAATATTGCCACTTATGAGGGAGGGAAGGTCAGGATTTCTTTCAGTTTTAGATTCGTTGATTTAAAGTGCCAGTAGCCGCTGTGCTGGGATTCAAACCCCTGGTCCTAGGGCATTAATCAGGGTGTCTGGATTACCATCCTATTACCACAACACCACCCTTCCACCCACTGTTGGAGGGGGTTCATTAGCCAGACACCGAAGGCCACCATGTATCCTCCAGTGGCAGAGGTGGGGCTAGCGCCTGGAGACTGTCTACGATGGGAAGCTGGGGAGGGGGAAGAACCGGGAGATCCTGTGCAGCGAGGACTTGGTGGTGTCCGGCTCGCTGCTGTGCCGGGAAGGGACATCCTGCTGCTGGCGTCTACGCATGAGCTCTTCCTCAAGGATCTGCGGAAACACAGCGGCAACCTCAAAGCTCTGTGAACGGGCAGAGTAAACTTGCACCACAATCAGATCATCGCCCCACAACAGAACACTGAGCTTGCATTCCCATTAGGTGAGGCAATGAGCAGGCCATTCGGCCCCTCAACACTGTTCAGTCAAGTGCCCTTTTCCTTCACAGCATGTGGGCGTTGCTGGCTAGACCAGCACTTGTTGCCGAGAGGGCAGTTCAGTTCAATCCCATTGCTCACGTGTAGGTCAGATTTCCTTCCCTAAAGGATATTAGTGAGCCAGGTGGGATTAGACTCTCAATTCCAGATTTTTATTGAATTCAGGTTCCATCATCTGCCGTGGCGGGATTCGAACCCAGAATATGACCTGAATTTCTGGATTAACAGTCCAGCGATAATACCACTAGGCCATCGCCTCCCCTGGATCCTAACCCAAAGTGGTGTAGTGACTGTGATAAGGTCAGCCAGGTGGCCCTCATAGAATAGGAGCTCCCTGATTGGGCTGTTAACCTGGTTCCAATCAGGGAGCCCTGGCTGACAGATATAACCAGGAGTGTTAGAGGTTCTGTTCACTCTGGGAGCTGGCTCTGAGGGAGCTGGATCAGTGTCAAGGACTCTCCACATGTAAATAAAGGGTGACGTGGTGATGGGATACCGGCCCCTGTGGAGTTATTTTGGGTGGGCCTGGAGGTAAAGAGGGTATCATGGATAGATTTTTAGACAGGCCCTTTCCAAAGCACGTGGGGCAGTAGCTCAGATCTTTGACATTACCTTTTGAGGAGTGATCTCTTCTGCCGCTTGGGAAAAGGGACTAACTTTGGATGTACATTGTACCTTGCCCATCCTTGGAAGCAGGGAGACTGCGCTGGGAGCATGCCCTTTAGCAGAGAGGTGCGGTGGGGCACTGTTCGGCTTTCTTGGGCCTTGCAGGGTTCAGTTAGATGAACGTGACGTCTCTCTGAATGAGTTGCCATTCTGATGCAATACTCCAAACAACAACAACTTGGATATATGTGGCCTCTTTAGTAAACATTTGGGGGCACTTTGGCAGTGGGGAGGCAATAACAGGTAGCAAGTTGACCCCAAGCCCAAGGAGATATTATAACAGGCTGACCATTAGATTACACGTCAGCTCTGAAGAGGGATGTGATTGGACGGCTAAGGGGAAAGGATGGGAGATTCGTCCCAGCCCAGTTGCTCTTAGAGTGAGGTCGAGAGTCGGTGAGGGAGGGAGGTCCAGAGCTTGGGGCCCAGGATGGCTGAGCAATTAAAATCGAGGGCATTCTGATCAGAATGAGTAATGTGCATGTGTGTATGTGTGTGTGTGTGTCAGTGTGTGTGTGTGTGTGTCCGTGTGTGTGTGTATGTTTTTGTGTGCATGTGTGTGTGTATGTTTGTGTGTGTGAGAGAGAGCGTATGTGTGTGTGTGCGTGTGTGTCAGTGTGTGTGTGTGTGTCAGTGTGTGTGTATATTTCCTTGTTTGTGTATGTGTGTGTTTCTATGTGTGTGTGTATGTGTATGTTTCTGTGTGTGTGTGTGTGTGTGTGTGTATGTCAGTGTATGTGTATATTTCCGTGTTTGTGTATGTGTGTGTTTCTATGTGTGTGTGTGTATGTTTCTGTGTGTGTGTGTGTGTGTGTGCATGTGTGTATGTGTGTGCGTTTGTATGTGCGTGTGTGCACGTGAGTGTGTGCGCATGAGTATGTGTGCGCGCGTGTGTGCGCACGCGTGTTTGTATGTGCGTGTGTGCGTGTGAGTGTGTGTGTGCGCGAGTGTGTGTGTGTGCATGTATGCATGTGCACATGAGTATGTGTGTGAGTGTGTGTCAGTGCGTGTTATAACTACCTCTTTGCGGGATGCAAGCCTCTCCCTCCATTCCTTCAGTTCCATCGTGTGTTCCTCATCGAGTGTCTTCAACTTCTCTCGCTCCCGACTGACCAAGAGGCTCAATTTCTCATTCTGGCGAAAGGAGCAAAGAACTCAAGTCCCCTCCGTGCTAAGCATTTCAATGTTTAGCTTTTAACAAGTTCGGTACCAGTGGAGCTGCCCATTTGAGGTTCTAACCCACCAGAGCTTCCCAAAGGTCCGGGAGATCCCAGACCCTGCAGAGACTCGGAAGTTAATGCCACGGGAAGTATAAGCTGTGATGGCAAACTCTTTCTGTTGGCTACACGGTCAACGAGATGTGCTGGCCAGGTCGGCTCTGGTCTCCCATCTCTTGAGAAGGCGTGAAAGAGCCACCTTCAGTGGATCTCCGTAGTGCACAGTGCTCTGACAGTACAGTCTTTGAGGGAGCTCCAAGATGTTGCCCTTGGAACTACAAATGACCAGCTGGGAAACAACACTGCACGCTGTAGTGTCCCAGTGTGACGGACCCTTTACCCCATTTAATCTTAAATCATAGAGTTGTACAGCACAGAAACAGACACTTCACTTCAACTCATCTGTGCCGACCAGATATCCTAAATTAGTCTAGACCCATTATCCAGCATTGGGCCCATATCCCTCTAAACCCTTCCTATGCAATATACCCATCCAGATGCCTTTTAAATGTTGTAATTGTACCAGCCTCCACCACTTCCTCTGGCAGCTCGTTCCATACATGCACCACCCTCTGTGTGAAAAAGTTGCCCCTCAGATCTTTAAATCTTTCCCCTCTCACCTTAAACCTATGCCCTCTATTTTTGGACTCCCCTACCCCGGGGAAAAAAGACCTTGCCTATTTACCCTATCCATGCTCCTCATGATGTTATAAACCCATATAAAGTCAGCCCTCAGCCTCCGACGCTCCAAGGTAAATAGCCCCAGCCTTTTCAGCCTCTCCCTGTAGCTCAAACCCTCCAACCCTGGCAACATCCCTGTAAATCTTTTTCTGAACCCTTTCAAGTTTCACATCTCACTCTGCGGGTGTCCTTTACTCTCTCCCCACCTCAGTCACGATCTATCTGAAGGTGTAAAACTGAGAGAGGAGTATGTCGAAATGTCCAGGAGCCTCTTTGGGGCCTTGGTAGCGAATTACCTGAAGGTGCTGTAACTCCACCATGTTGGCGTCACATTGCCTCTGCAACTCCTTGAGGTGAGCATCATGTTTTTGCTGCTGGCGCTGCCTCTCCTCTTTCTGACGAGCCTCTTCCTGAACTAGAAACTAGCAAAGAGAACCCGCTGGGATTAGTTCGTGGCGCACTTCAGTTTGGATTGTTCGGTTTCTCTCAGTAATGGTGACAGGAAACCACTTCACGAGATGCCCCTTAAAGGAATGTGGCGTCCTTACCTGGTCTGGCTTTACCTGTGACATGGTCGAGGTCTCAGACGCCTTCTGAAATGGCCGAGCAAGCCACCCAGTAAAGAGAGGTTAGGGATGGGCAGTAAATGCCCGCCTTGCCATTGGAACCACATCCCACAAATGGAGGACAAAATCCAGCCCGTCGAATGGAGCGCAGTTCCTCGCCCTAAATCAAATACCTAACCATACTGTCTAATCTATCATACCTGCACTTCCTTCCCATCTCTATCTCAATTGAGAGATGCGCGCACCCCACCCCACCCCCCTCACCCCATGTTTCCAACCTGTGTCCCCTGGTTCTGGAGACATTCTCTCGGTCTCCTCTCAGTCCAGCCCGATCCCTCAGGGTCATACACTTCAGTGATTCTTACAAACTCCAATGGGTAATGGGCCCGACCTTTCCCCAGAAGACTAAAACTGTTCTGAGAGGGTCAGCGGACCCTGAAATGTTAACTCTGATTTCTCTCCACACGTGTGCTGCCGGACCTGCTGAGCTCTTTGAGCAACTTCTGCTTTTGCTTCAGAAGACAAAACCCTTTCCATTCCCAGGAATCAGCCAACCTGAACTGCTCTCAAGGCAAGGAAACCGAATGTGTTATTCTAGGTGCGGGCTCACCAAGCCGTGCAGCAAGACTTCCCAAATTTTAGACGCCAACCCACCCACAACCCCCTTGCGATAAAGGCCAACATGCCACTTGCCTCCATAATTATTTGCTGTATCTGCATGCTAACTTTTTTATTTATGTCTTGGAGATGTATCCATGCTGGTTGTCCCCCTGTGCCTGTGATATAAGGAGTGTGTAAGGGGTGGAGGGGGGGCATTAGCTGACCTGTTTGATGAGCTCCCTCTGCTCCACTGCCCCGACGGCCTTGATCTTCAGGCTCTGCTTGAAGAGGTTCAGCCTGGCCTTGCTGTCTTGCCTCTGCGTCTTTGGCAGGCGGGCCCTCTCCTGCGCCTGGTGGCTCTTCAGGTCCTCCAGAAGGCCGGTGTGATCGTGGACCATTCTCTCCGTCTCCTGCGAGAGGAAGGCAGCACGTCTTCATGTGCCCGAAAACGGGGAGAACCGTGGCGGTTTGCAAAATCGGTTCCTTCTGCTCTTCGCCCGTGCTCCCCCCACCGACTGCCCCCCACCCCCAACACCCTTAGGGCCTACTTTTGTGATATTTGTAGGCTGACTTGTGGTCTATCTTTCTGGCAGGGGAGGACAAAGACTGGGACAAGTGTTGGGGCAACATATTGGGGGAACGGTTTAGATCGGTGCACAAAGACATTTTTATTTTGTTCTTTCACGGGATGTTTGGAAAGGCCAGCATTTGTGGTCGGGCCCTGACTGCCCTTGGGACTGATTGGCTTTCCAGGCTGTCTCGGAGGACACATCAGACTCAGTCGCCCCTTCAGCGTCGCTGGGTCAAAAATCCTGGGACTCCCTCCCTAACGTCCCCGTGCGGGTGCCCCTACCCCAGATGGACTGCAACGGTTCGAGAAGGCAGGCTAACCCACCCCACCACCTCCGCCCGCCTGCCCCCACCACCTTCTCCTCGAGGTGGGGGGCAATTAGGGATGGCAAATCCATGTCAACTGAGAGAATATCCTCACCTCTGTTTTAAATGGGGCTTGGAAACGGTGACCCCTACCCCCCACCCCCCCCCCCCCCCCGCCACCCCCCCCAGTTCGAGATTCTCCCAAAGGAAGAGACATCCTCCCCCACACCCACCCGGTCAAATCCCTTTGGATGGGCAGGACTTGAGAGGGCACCGGACCATGGCAACACAGGGTGGGGTGGGGCGTTTGGTGGGGGGGGGGGGTGCGGGGTGCGATGGGCAGCACCAAGGTGTTACAAAACCTGGGCACTGTCCCAACCGCAGCTGGTCGAGGGCTGGATAGAGACGGCAAAGGGGCCACCGGTGGTGACAGCCACACACATCAACACAAACCAAATGCCGAACACCCCCCACCTTCCCCACCCAAGGACCCTGTGCCTCCGACACACTGTAGCTACAGGGCAGCACGGCCAGCAACTCTGACGGCTCACATTCGGATCCAGGCCCCGCCAGAACCCACCCCGGCCCCAATCCTGAGGAAGCCGAGCACGGGACAAACGGGAGGGACCCCTCCCCCCTCCCTCCGCGCGGGCCACGGCCTCGCCCCCATCGCCGAGATTCCCCGACTTTGTTTTGCCGGCCCACCTTGTCGTGCCGCTTGAGCAAAAGCTGCCTCTGTAATGAGCACTGCTCTTTGACCTGCTGCTTGAACAGATGGTATTTCTCCTGGAGGTGACGCTGCTCCACGTCCCAGACCACCGCCTCACGGTCTGCGGGAGGCAGGGGGGAGATGGGGGGCAGGGGGAGGGAGAGAGACGGGGGTGGGGAGAGAGAGAGAGACAGGGCAGAGAGATAGGGGAGAGAGATGGGGGAGAGGCGGG